GAGTATCTGGGGAGCTGGAAGATGAGAACTGGCGACTTGGTAGTACACGACTTCAGTACGCGGAGGTGACTTGCGAGAGGTCAAGAACTTGCAGGAAAAAGGTGTTCCTGCGCGTCAGAAAGACATACAGAGAGAGACACATACACACACAGACATAGATACACACACACAGAGACCCACACACTGCCTCAACACACTCGACTTAACACTTCACACTGAACACTTAATACATAACTCACACTCTAACTTCACACGTACTGAAAAATGCTTTCGGGCCACTCGTCGTCTAGTTTTTTAACAACGCAGGTTTTCTAGTGTTTTATTTCTAGGGTGTTGTTGCGCTTATGCATGCAGGTTGCACGCGCTTGTGACAGTAATGGTGCCAGCCTGAAACAACATTCCGTTCGTGGTCTTGGGAAGACTTATTTATGAAATCGGCATTTCCCGAGTTCTCCAAATTGACTAAGGCGATGCATCTGCTAGGCTGATACTTCGAGAAGGTGAGATGCTGGATTTGCCAGAAGGTGGGAGGATAGGATCGGATAGGATGAGCATCCAAGCCAATGAGAAGTAAAGGGCTTGCTACACGTGCCGAGCATGGTCGATAAGCCATTGCGTCAGTCATTTTGCAGGCAGCTTCTTTGCAGATTCGTTTTGCCGAGCAGTTTTTGCACGAGCAAAACAAGCAATAGCCGCGGCCTTGACCTGGGAAGCAGTTGGCAGTGATCGCAACAGCAAAGAGCTGCGAAGGCTCAGCCTTGGCAGACCTTTGCAGACCTTTTGCTGGAAGCTGCAGAAGAGGCGTGAACCCCGGCCGCCCAAGCAGATGTTCCGGTCCTAAGGCAGAAAGCGAATCTCAATAAATCACCAAAAGGGACATCCTGAGAGTGCAGTTTTCAGAGCGGGGTTTGAGATTGTTTGCCGCAAATTCCTTGCGCGAGCCGATTCCAAAAAAGAACAGCAAGGAAGCAAATAATATGTCGCGACCCCTGGGGGGTGCAATCTTCTTCTTTTGCCTTTTGCTTTTGTTGTCCAAGCTATCCATTGCCCGTCCTGCTGGTTGCGCGAGCTCATTGCGTGTGTGTCTCTGTGTGTGTGTCAACCCCTGTTCCTAAGGGTTTCTCGTTCCACCAATGCAGGGGGCGCAAGCAGCCCATCCAGTCTTGCACCAACAAGTTACATTGGTGGCAACTGGGGCCCAGTTGGTGGCAACTGAGGCCAAGAGTTTTGCTCCTCTACCACTCTCTGCAGCACAAGATAGCTACAAAGAAAGCTATTGGTAGCCAAGTGTGTGCAGCAAGTATGGCGTAGTATGGCCACAGCCACACACACTAACAAGCTATTGGTAGCAAAGTGTGTGAAGCAAGTATGGCATAGTATGGCCACAGCCACACACACACTAAGAAACTATTGGTAACAAGCTCTGTGGCGAAACACAAGCATTACAGATGTGGGTGAGAGTTGTACTTTACCTTAGCATCGATGAGAAACACATACAATAAAACAAATAACATACAGATATTCGACCTGGACACGCGTTTCTGATACACCCCATCTTTAAATGGACACCAACCGATTCTTTCTGGGTGAAACTGAGCTGGGAGCCAGCTCTATGGATGGAAGCGCAAGACAGTTTTTTTGGGTTGGCTACTAGGGTGGAGGCCATGACTTTTCTTGGAGACCTGCTACTAGGGTCAAGGCCATCACCTTTGTTGGAGGCCATCGCTACCAGGCTGAAGGCAATCGCTTTTGTTGAAGACCATTGCTACTAGGGTGGAGGCCATCACTTTTGTTGGAGGCCATCGCTACTAGGCTGAAGGCCACTTTTGGGCCAAGGGTGGAGGCCCAGAGGCCATCCCTACTAGGGTGGGGGCCATTGGTTGGAGACCATCGCCACTAAAGTGGAGGCCATCACTTGTATTTTGCTGGAGGCCATGCTGACTAGGGTGGAGGCCATCGCTTTTGTTGGAGGCCATCTTGACTAGGCTGGAGGCCATCGCTTTTGTTGGAGGCCACTGGAGGCCATCGCTCTTAGGGTGGAGGCCATGCGCTCACCAACCGCCGATACCTTTCAGAAGAGCTCACGGATGTGAAGCCTGGAGTGTTTCATGAGATGTTCACAGAAATCAACTTCGCAGAAATCTTTGGAACACTGTTTTAGTTTTAGACATCTTTCGACGCATGCTCTAGTTTCATAAATCCATGCGCAGTCCATCAGTCAAGTCTACATTTTTGAGACATGCACTCTTCATGCATATTTCCACTTTCACACAATATCATATCCACTGTGCACACATATTTTCTAAGATGTTATTAACATCTCGCTGGGCTCCGGCTGATGGAGAGCCCAGAGAATCTCAAGAGGACTGGCCTGGGCGATTTGGGCAAAGGGTTATGGAAGAGTTTGGCTAAAGAAAGCAATCAGAAGCTGGTCACGGACCTTGGACAGTTCCTCTTTGGTTTTTCTGACAAAAGTAAAAGCGATTGAAGAACACTCTCTGTTTTTCAAACATGGATTAGCAGCTGGTCAGTCGCACACTCCCCTGGCACTCCTGACCCTAAATGCTGAGCCCACTCCACTTGTAAAAAAGGAAGCACCCTAACGCAACTTGCTCTACAATATTTACAATATTTGTGGTTGCCACAAAACACACACACAACAAATATGACAAAAACATCTTTAGTGGACCAATGGATCACTTCTGGACCCCAGCGCGTGCAGCCATGTAATCCGCCCTCGCTGAGCTCTCCATCCACGCCTTGCACGCCTTCTTGAAACGCTCTTGTGATGGAGGCATGTCACTTGCCTGAATCCACTCACTGATGAATCGATCACGGGCCTTGGAAAGCGTAGCTGGTGGGAGGCCAGGAGCAGGAGGAGCTGGGTCAGAAGCTGGGTTACGAGGAATGCCCTTTTTCACCCACTTCTCATGCCAAGCACGGCTGTCAGCTCGATGCAGTTCTCGTGCGGCATCAGTCTTCTCGGTCTTCTGCCTTTTCATCTCAGGCTGATCGCTACTGCCACCGGATTGATTCAAATCAGGCATGCGGTCAGCAACAGGCTTGGGATCAGCTGGTTGGCTATCAGGAATCATCTCAGCAACAGGCTGAGCATCCTCCTTCTTCTCAGAAGGCTCCACCTGAGATTTGTCAGGCTGTTCCTCCAGCATGTCAACCAAATCCTGGCCTTCAGCAGGAAATTCAGGAAAATCTTGCTTCTCCCAAGACTGAGGTGACTCAGGATCAAAAGGAGCCTGTGAATCCTCCGGCTGTGAATCTCCCTCTCGGTTCATAGCAGCAAGCAAATTCCGGGCCAATTCGCGATTCGGCCTGGGCAAGAATCACACAGAGCACACATAGAAACATTTTGCAGTAGGGGCCCAGGCCTAATCCACAAAACACGAATGCCTGAAACAAAATGTGAAGTGAACAAAAGCCAGGGGGCGAACGAGGTGCGGGTGGTGCAGGCATAGATGACTGCGCAAATGGGTCCTCAGCACCAACCGGGCGAGCAATGCCCGAAGTAGGGTAGGAGCCGATGAAGAGCTGCTTTGAACGGTAGGGCGCAGATGACTGATGGATAGCCTCAAAGGTCCTCTTGTTCTGCACTTGGGGGTTCAATTCATATTCTCCAAGTTCACCGTCATCCAACACAATCTGGGTGTAGATCGACATTGAAGTGATGAGGATTCGAGACGAGCTTTCAATGCCACAGCTTGGAACCACACTGCGGCCGACAAATTCAGGGTCAGCAACATAGAAACCACACAGACTCTTGAAGAAGTAACTCAGAACACATAAAACATGTGTTGCATTTTATCATTTCAACCCCATTCGAGTAGAGATCATCTGGCAATCATCCAGCCAGCAAGAAACGGTGGCATGGTTTCACATACCTTTGAAAGCAGCAATCACAGTGGATTGCGCAAAGCCAAGAGCAGCTTAATGCTGTCAGCTCCCCAAAGATTAGAAGCCAAGACTTCTAGACCAGGCGTTGGCAGGAGCCCTTGGTGAGTTCCAAATCCTCGCTCAGGAACCACAGCGGCTTTGCAGCTGCGATGCATTTCTCATTGGTCCACAGGCGAAGTCGCCGTACCTCAAGCTTCAAAAAAAATCACACAACCACGCAGAACCACAAAGGACATGACCATACCTCAAAGCCACAACAAATATATAGCATCAAATGAAACATCATCAAATGACACATGACCAGACTGACATCAAATGACCTATGACCAGACTGACATCAAATGACACACAACCATACCTCAAGCTGCAACAAATGACCTGGAATGACACATGTTATCCCCGAAAGTACCTCTGAACACACCAAGGTGCCAAAGTCAAAGGGCTCGCTTCCAGGGAAGGCCATGAGAATGAGCTGGCCACGTTCGCCGCCTTCAGGCTCTTTGTGGGGACGTTGTTTGGCCTCCACAGAAGGACCTTGCTCTCATCAGGGCTGACCTCGAAGCAATCATCCTGCTTGCCTTGCTGGACACTCGCAGGCCTTTGGCAACGATGCCCACCCACGGTGTACTCAACCAATCCTTTGCGCTCAAACCGTTGCAGGGCTTCACGAAGCATCATGCATGATGAGTCGGCGCCTTGGCTGCTTGGAGAGAAGGCTGAGAAGTTTCGCAAAGATAGCCCTACAAAGGGCATCCCATGCAAGTTCGAGAGTGATGAAGCTCCAGTGGTGATCGAGGAGCTGTGTTCTTTCTGTGTTGTGTTTAACTCTGACATCAGTGGGAGGTATGCGTTTGATTTTTATGCGTTCTGCCCTGGTGTCTGATGTTTGATGCTTTATCTGGGGTTTGTTTTGCTTTGTACGAGTTCATTGTCTGCCCCATGACAGATCAAGGGCGGTGTTGTCTCACACACCTTGATGGACACAGCGCTGTCCACAGCCACGATGAAAAGGTATGGTTATGGGGTCAGGACAAACTTCGTCGAAGCATCAGGCCCAGCAAGCTCTTGGATGTCGTCACTGAAAGGGAAGTATTTCTTCCAGAAAGCTGTGGTATCCTCCTCCTCCTTCTTGGCCCCAGGACCACTTGCCAAGGGCGATGGTGAAGAGGTGTTCTTTCCAGCAGGGGAATGCGAATCACTCACTGCAGGTACTTGCACCCCCCAGTCAGAGTCGAAGGCTTTGAGGAGGTCTCGCCATTCCGGGCCATAGATCGGGCATCCAAGGAAACTCTGTCGGATGTCCCTTGGAATCAGCATCCTGCCGTCCGATACCTGGCACAGCTTGAGTTCTGGGGCAGCGGGTGCCTGTGGCAACTCCTCTGCCGGAGGGCTTGCCTTGTATCTAGGCATGAGCTTGTCCATGGGGCTGCGGCCATGTTTCCACGCCTGGTCAAGAAGAGTGAACACATGTCACTGCAGCATGTTGCAGAGATGCTGAAGAGCAACCCTGACAAAAGAAAACGCAGTCATGATTGCAACTAGATGTCTTTTGAGAAAAAACAACCGCCACAACAACAAGAACACCAACCTCCAACCACAAACAGCGCTTTCTTTCACCCACTCTTGACCCAAAGCATCCTCATAAACACACAAGACAAGGCGCATCCACAAGGTGGTTCTTCACAATCTCCTTTGCGCAGTTGTGGCTTGTGGCATTGGCCGAGCTGGAAAGCACAGGGATACCAGCGCTCAGGCTAGCTAGCTCCACAGAACCATCGTAAGCTGTGGGGTGCACCAAAACAGCCGCATGGAAGGTCTTACGGTCACCTGCACAGTGCAAAGCTGGGTGTGAAGTCATCATGGAACACATGCAAAATAGTATGCAAAGTATT